TCATGTTAATTGTGACCCTTCTGGGCAGGTGCTCAATAGAGCTGTGCACCTGGTGTGCTGGGCTCTTCTGGGGTCCTAAGAGGGAGCAGAGTGCTTTAGAACTCTGTGCTTCAGTTTTCCTGTCAGTGAAATGGGGGGATAATTTTCCCATGGCTCCCAGGGCTGCTGTGAAGATCAAATCCCATCGCGATGGCAGGGTGCTCAGATACTATAATAACGGAGGCCATAGAGAAGCTAGACACAAATAAAGCCGCCTGGGATGGAAAGCTCTGTCACAACAGCTCATTCATTGCCAAGGTGTAGCAGAGAGCATGAAAAGTGTGTAATTCATCTGCTAGTGAATACGATCTGCCTAATGCAATTCTAATTCCATCCCAGTGGTGACGATGCTGGCTGCCAACAAGAAGCATGGGGAATCTTGCAAGGAATGTTTGTCGATCTCGCTGCGCTTCCTGGCGGGGTCTCCTGAGTCCAGGCAGAGCAGTTCAGGTGTGGATCTGAACCTCCCCGTAATTCTGGAGGGTCCAGGACAGGCTGTTACGTTTTGTCCGAAGCTTGGATGTGTTCAGATGTGAAGGGGTGTAGTTTGGACCTGGCTTCACTCCTAAATCCTCACCCCCTCTTCTCAGAGGACGCAATACTTGTTACCTCCAATTAGTCTTCATGTGAGTTGGAGTATCCACATGTTGTAGTCACGCAGGTATTTTGAACTGCCTGCAAGTGTGTAGGAAGCAACTGAGCATTGCCCCAAAATATGGTGCATTGCGTACAGCCTTCCAATGGCGCATCCACACTACTAAGCCCATTATTTCGAAATCACGGGTCGGTGATTTTGAAATCTGTACGCCTGCTTTCCTCTGGGAATAAGCTTATTCTGAAATAGTTATTTCAAAATAATTTCCTAGTGTAGACATGCCCTAAGGGACCTCGTGGGTGCCCCGAAGGAGTGGAGGTCATGTGGGATTTTCTGGGGTAAGGGGAAAGGTGACAGTTGCCGGAGAGAATGCATGCCCACTGTGGAGACAGGTGGGCAGTCATGCTGCACCAGCAAAGCATACGGTGAAAGACCAGTACTGAAGCGGAATGAGGAAGGCTCTTTTCCAAGAGTGGAGCTCTGCAGATTTACAAACTCTGCAAGTTTGCAAACGTTGTTACCCCCAGCTCTTGCTGATGGCTCAGTACGGAGTCAAGTGCAAGTTCATAGATTGACCGCTGCAGTCTAGTACGAGCTCTTGTATAGCAGGCTAGACATCTGCCCACAGCAATTCCCACAGCAGATCTTTCAGAACAACATCCACTCTGGATTTTGAAATTCTCCACCCTCACCTTTTGGTAAATTGTTCCAGTAGTTAATTGTTCTCAGTTAAACATGGACACCTTTATTTCCACTCGGAGTGGGTCTCTATCTATAGCTGCCAGCCACTGGATTGCATTATATCGTTCTCTGTTGTTCTGAAGAGCCCATTTAGTAAATATCTGTTCCCTGAGTAGGTACTTCTGGACTATAATCAGCTCATCCCTTAACCTTCTCTTTGAGCTCCTCGAGTCTATTTAGTTTTAACAATCTAGCACAATAAGGCTAGATAGATTGTTGTTCTAATTCCCTTATTCTTTCTCATGGCTCTTTTCTGAGCCCGCTCCACTGTATCCTTCTAGAATCGTGGGTCGCAGAACTGGACACAGTGTTCCAGCCGTGCTCATGCCAGAGCCAAATAGAGAGGGAAAACAACCCCTCGCTCTCCGTTTTCTGCATCCTGGGATCGCATTAGTCCTTCTGGCCACAGAGTCACATTATCCACCCACCCTCAAACCTTTTCTGGAAACGTTGCTTCCCAGGATGGAGTCTCCTATTGTGTAGAGGTGGCTGGCATGCTTTGTTCCATGGTGTCTCTATTTGCATCGAGCCATATTTAACATACATTGTGTGCTTGAGTCCTGCTTTCCACGTCCTCCCGATTGTTCTGCATCACTGACCCGTCATCTTTGTTATTTGCCATTCCTCCAATTTTTGTGTCAACTGCAAACTTTTATCAGGGAGGAATTTGGTTTTTTTTTTCTTTTTTCTTCCAGCTCATGAATAAAAAGGTTGAACCAGCCAAGAACAGATCCTCATGGGACCCTCCCACAAACACTCTTGTTCAATGACAGCTCCTTTTTGAGACCATTCCACAAGCCAGTTCTGAGGTCTCATCTCACTGGATTTAGCCTGGAGTCTTCTCCCGCCCCCTACCCCTTACTTTTTGCCATCCGCAGAGGACCAGTGCTGGTGTGGTTTGCTTTCTTTGGCAGTGAAACATAGCTGGGGGGAAGGGGTTGCCCCTCCTCTGGTGGCAATTAAAACCGATTACTGGCATGGAGGAAATTACGGGCTGGGATGTTTTGCAAGTCTCTCTAAGCCTATAGTGTCTTGCTGCATGTGAGTGGGGTTCTTGGAGGGGCTGGTTTTCAGATAGAGGAGCTATGCAGCTTCATCTACTGTACATATTTTGGATAGACCTATTCTGAGCCCCTTCAGGATGACACTTGCTAGCTCCCCTGCCCCTGCAGAGTGAAAGATCCCTGGGTAGGTTCTCCCTATTCAATGGCCCTTAAGAAAGCATCTTGACTCTTCCACCCCACCCCCACCTCTTGTCCCTGAGCATCTACCCACAAATTGTTCAGGGAAAGGGCAAATGGGAAGGGAGGATGTTGAGACCTAGGAGTTGCTGAGGCTGGAGCCAGTCTGAGGAAGGGAGCAGCTTATCCCCAAGCCTATAAAAATCATGCACCGGAACCCCAAAGATCATAAGAGCATAAAAAAGCCAGTAAGTTTGGGGTTCTCTGTCTTTGTCTTCAAGGTTTTTGAGCCTTTACGGTCCTCTCAGGTTATGTTCTCGAGGCTTTTCCCACAACCATGAGGATTAGCCATTTGCTTTTTTTAAGTGGGATCCTCACAATAATAATCTGACTCCAGGAGCTGAGGCTTAAAGAACCCCACAAAACCCCCCACGTTGCTGCATGTGTGATATTGAAGGAAAGGTGAGAGGGAAGGAGAAGTCAGAGAGGAGCTTTCTGGGGGCTAGTGCATCTTTTTGAAGAACTGCTGCTCCTTAAATTGGAATCCTACATCCCATGTTGGTGTAGGGTTCATTGGTGCATGGTTTGTTCTTAGCACACCCTGGTTTGTGCTTGCGTGTTGGGTGGCATCTCTGGTTATGTGAGTTGGTTGAAAATCTTTTCGAGGCGACACATTTTTTTTTCCCCCCACTGGAAAATGCTAATTTGAGAGAATTGACATGCTTTGATTGCGTGTTGGGTGGCATCTCTGGTTATTTGAGTTGGTTGAAAATATTTTCGAGGCGACACATTTTTCCCCCCACTGTAAAATGCTAATTTGAGAGCATTGAAATGCTTTGGGGGAATATACCAATTTTTGGTTATAAATTGTCAACAGAAAATTATCAAAATATTCTGCTTCACCTCCTTTTTATGTGATGTTTGAAATGGTCACGTCAAAATGAAATGTTTGGACCGTAGGAAAATGAAATTCTCTGGACGATTTTGAGTTGTATTGAAAAATTCCAAGATTTCTACTTTTTGTCCCAATTCAGGATGTCAAAATCATGGCGTTTTCCTGCCAGAGAGAAATTCTGTGGTGTTGTTTTTTTGTTTTTGTTTTTTTTCACCAGCCCTGCTGTTTGTAATACAATAAATGCACACACGGTCTGCTCCTGGGGCTGGAGATGGCTGGGGTAGTTGACAAACCTTGGGGCAGTGTGTGATCAAATTTGGCATGTAGTCTAAATCCATAGATTGCTCAGTAGATGCTCATATTCCACTTTAGGGGTGGCTTTATTTTGGTTTAGCTGAAACTCGATTTCTACTCCACTAGAACTTCAGTGAAATGAACCATGATGGAACCAACAGAGGAGGGTGTCACACACAGCCTCTTGGGCCAGCTTAACTCAATCCGTTTCAAATCAAAGACCAGCGGTTCCCAACCTTTTCCAGATGGGGACCCATTTTGACAATTCAGGAAGACTTGGTGACCCAAGGCAATTCAAAAACAGGGGGAGGAAAGGGGGCAGAGCCACCTGGGGAGACACTTGGCCACCCTTTGGAAATGTGATGGTGACCCATATGTGGGTCCCAACCCATAGGTTGGGAAACCCTGCTCTAGACGAAGCAGTGTGTCAGAGTGTAGACAGGCTGACCCGTTAAAGCACAGCCCCAGAGACTTCGGGTGTTAATATGGGTGAGAGAGAGCCCCAGGACACTTGTTCGGTTGCAGGAGAGGCTGGAGTAGGAAGGATTCAGAAGTATCCTAGTGTTTAAGGCCAGAAGGGGCCACCCGATTTTTCCCCCAGGTAGCCCCTACTGGGCCCCATAACTCGTTAGACTAAAATATTTCAGTCCCCAGCGACCTGGACTGCATACTACTGTTGGAACGCAGGAGCGGTCAAGGTGCCCTGAAGGCCCAGACTCCTGCCATGGAAGGGAATAGTTGGGTGATCCCAGAGGGTGAGATGCACCCCGGGCTGCAGAAGACAGCAAAACCACCCCAAGATCCCTGCTAATCTGACTTTTCCCAGATCTGGAGATGGGTTAGACTCCGAGCATGAGAGTAAGACCCACCAGTCAGGTATCCAGCCAGAGAAGAGATGAGCTGCTGGAGGGGCAGGAATGGAGGTGGGCTATGGTGAGATGACCCCCTCCCCCAGGTACAACTCAAGAGGTGGGATGGTTGGTGTTGGAGGAACTGGTGCGTGGTCCCGTGGTGCATGAGCTTGCTGCTGAAGGGAAACACCATTGGAGATGCTTCTGGCCAACTCGCCACCTCCTGTGTTGGTTTGGGGGCTGCAGAAAGGGCAGAGGCCAGGAGAGGAAGGGGAATCCTGCCTTGGTGAAACCAGGTTGGCAAGCACAGGCAGCATGCAGTGGGGGGCTGCTCTCCTAGAACCAGCCAACCCCACCTGTAACGCTCTGCTCAGGGACGCTGCTGCTTCTCTTTGCTCACTCAGGTCCGGCTAGCAAGTCATGATGGTAGAATCTGCCTCGGAGACAATACGTTCCACTCCCTCCAGCCAGAACGGGGTCAGCAGCCTCACCAACCCGACAGATGGCGGCGGCGGCGGCGGAGGAAGGGAAGGAGGCGGCAGTGGGGAAGCCAATGGGGAAATGAGCCCAGTGGAACTCCTGCATTTTCAGCAGCAGCAGGTAGGAAAAAGCCTCTTTCTCCTCCCTTTCGTGCTCTCTCTTTCTCTGTCTTCCTCATGGGCGTGTGTGTGTTGTATTCCTCAACTTTCTGGCTTTTGAGACACAGTGGAGACCTACACCAGAAATCCTACATTGAGAGGGCTGGAAGGCACCTGGAGTGGTCCTCAAGTCCAACCCCCTGCACTGAAACGGGACTGCGTAAATCTGGGCCGTCCCTGACTTGCATTTGTCCAACCTGTTCTTAAAAACTTCCAGTGATGGGAATTCCACACCCGCTCATGGGAGCTTATTTCAGAGCTTTCCTACCCTTAGATTAAATACCAGGAAATACTTTATCTAAGTCTCCCGTGCTGCAGATTAAGCCAAGTGCTGCTTGCCTGACATGGTCTTCTTTATAACAGCCCTTACGACACTGTTATTTGGTCCCACCTCAGTTTTTTTTCTCAAGCCTACCCATGCCCAGGTTTTCTAAAGCTTTTCTACTTGATGCTGTGCCCCTCTGGAGTTTCCTATTTGTCCACATCCTTCCTAAATGTTGGCACCCTGAATTGGACACAAGATTCTAGCTGAAGGCTCAGCATTGCAGAGTGGAGTGGGGACCATTCCTGCCCATGTCTTACATGAGGCACTCCTGTTAACAGACCCCGGAATAAGATGAGTCTCTTTTGCAGCTGCATCACGTTGTTGACTCGTTTCTCTTGATGATCCACCATAAACCCCAGCTTCTTTTCACAAGAACTACCACCTAGCCAGTTACTCCCCATTGCGTGATTCTGCAATTGATATTTTTCCCCCCTAAGTGAAGTACTGTGCGCTTCAGCTTTAGTTGAACCTCATCTTGTTGATTTCAAACAGGTTTTTTTTCCTATTTGCCACGCTTGTTTTGAATTCCCTTCCGGTCTTCCAAAGTGCTTGCAACCCCTCTCCGCTTGGGATCATGGTCAGATTTTGCAACCTGCTCCCCATTCCATTCTTCAAGTTGTTAATGAAAATACTGAATAGTGCCAGAGCTAGAACTGGCGCCTGAAGTTCCCCACTAAGTATCTCCTCCCAGTTTGGCAGTAAACCCTGGGTGACTACTCCTTCACTGCAGTCTTTCAAATGAGGGTACTCGGAATTGGTGGTTCCTCTAGTATTGTCTGAGGTGATATACGAGAGGACATGATAGCTGCATCAGCTCTCTCTGACCAAGGCGCTTCACAAAAGAGGGGGTGAGTGAGGCAGGGATGCAGCTCTCAATACTTCCGGAAGCTTCTGCTCTCCAGCAAACTCCACCTCACCTCAATGCACGTGCCCTGCTCTGGGTAAATCTTGTCACTCACAGCCAAAAGCATGAGTCTAAGGGCGTGTCTACACTAAACGGAAGATCGCTGCTGCCGTGATCCATTTTTCTGGAGTTTGATTTAGCGAGTCTAGTTAAGACTCACTCTATCAAACTCAGAGGGCATGCCTGCCAGCATCTGGTACTCCTCCTTTTGCGAGGAGTAAGAGAACTCCGACAAGCTCAGCTTAAGGTAAGCCGACTCCAGCTACTTATTTTATGTAGCTAGAGTTGAGTACCATAAGCCAAGCTGCCGGATCCAATGTAGACCTGGCCTAAGAGCGCTATGCTGTTAAGGAGTTCAGACAAAGGACCTTGGCTTCTGGTCTTTAAAGATCCCATTGGCATAGTCTTCACCTTAGGTTTGCTACATTGGCTCCAAGGGCAGGCCCAACCTCCAGCCTGGCTAACTGCACCACACTACCCTCAGTTCTCCTATGAGTTCAGCTGGAGATGTCCGTTCTGCACTTCCGACTGTTCTTCGGTGTTGCAGTGTGCTGTTGGAAGGTTTGGTGTCCTCTGCTTCAGGGATGGCTGCATTTCAGTGCTGGCAGAGTGACTCCTGTGTTGCTGTAGTCCGTGTGGCTCTGAGATCCTTGAATTTGAAATAAAAAATAAGATGGCGTCAGAAGCTGTTGTCAGGGGAGGGAAAGGGCTGTGAGCAGAAGTGTATTGTAAAGACTTGCTGGGCACAAAATAGGTAGCTGCTTCTTTCTCTGATCCCTGGGCTTTTCCCCTTTACTCTCAGGGGTCACCACCATCTACTCAATCCTTTCCATGCTTTGTGGCTCACAGCACTGCAAGGAGAGGTGCGCTGGTGAGTGTGTGAACGCCTGCCTATGTGCATCCATGTCGGTACATGCCTGCCGCCGTAAAGAGGGCTTTCTGCAAAAGCATTTGTGCGCATGCGTCTTGGGCTGTGTGTGCCAGTCAGCTGACGTGTGCATGTGTCTCCGTCTGTGGGTGCGTGTCTGCGGGCACCTCTGTGTTTGTGCGAATAGGCACTTCTGCACATCCCAAGAGCTTGGTGAATCTGTGCACGTGAAGTCTGATCTCTGCATGAGTGTGTGCGCACACATCTAACTTGGGGACACGTGCACACTAAGGGCATGTCTAGACTAAGTTTTAATTTCGAAAGAAGATATGCAAATGCTGTGCAAATTTGCATATCTTCTTCCAATCACATTTTCGAAAGAGGATCTTTCGGAAGTGAAAGTAGTCTGGACGCTGTGCCCTTTTTCAAAAAACCGCATAAACCTCCCCCCTTTTTTTTTTCTTCAGGGAGAGCGTGTTTTTCAAAAAAAAAAAAAAAGGGGGTTTCCCCCGGAAAAAAACCCATGTCCAGACTACTTTCACTTTCGAAAGATCCTCTTTCGAAAATGCGATTGGAAGAAGATATGCAAATTTGCACAGAATTTGCATATCCTCTTTCGAAATTAAAATGTAGTCTAGACGTGCCCTCAGCTACGCCTGGCTCACCAAGTATATGTGCATATGTGTGGTGTTTGTGTGTGCGTGTGCACACACGACTCTTGCTCACTCTGCTCGAGTGAAATATGCAGGGTGCATGTATAGTTTAGGCTGGGGGGTGCGGGCATGCCTGCAGGTTACCTTTTCAAAACAAACTTCTGAGAAAACATAAATTTTCCTCCGCGGATACTAAATAAGGCAATGATCCCAGCCTCGTGTGGAGATCGCCTCCCTGAGCCATAAATTCCAGCGTGAAAGCTGTAAAAAATTGCTGTGTCTGATACTTTAGTCGCGAGCGCTGTAAATCCATTACCTGAATAACAGCCGTTTCTCACGCAGTTAAGCCACTGTTCCCCTGATCTGAGGGGTAATCATGCGTGTAATGCTTCTCCGAGTCACCCCTGCTGAATGAGATGCCGCTCTTTCTCTCCCCGCCCTGAGGAGGGGGGGTGCAGTTGCCTTTGCTGTGCCCGGCGGAGAGGGCGCTGAAATTCACTTAGCGGCAGCGTGTGTTCCGGACTCATTTCGCTGTGGTAAATAGGAGACGCTTGTTCATTCACAAGGCACGGCAAAGGGGACGGCGGGCTGTGTGCTTGGAAAGCACAAGCGAGTCTGCCAGGCCCCGGGCGGCTTTTGGCACAGGTCACCGGGGAACGGGAAAGGCTGTTTATTCCCAGTAGTGCCTATCTTACCTGCTGTCTACCGCCACCCCTGGGAATGCTCACCCAGCCCCTTGCGTGCACCAGGTCGCTCGCTCGCTCCCTTTCACACGAGCTCCCGTGCTGCATGCAGGCTGATGGGGGTCAAGTAGAGAGAGAGCCGTGTGTTTGCCCCAGAGGATCCTAAAGCATGCCAGAAAGGTTTAGCGCATGCAAGACTTGCATCTCTGCACCCCGGGAGGCAAGAAAGTGCTGGCAGTATCCCCGTCTCATGCAAGGGGGCAAGTGACTGGACCATGGTCGTGTGCTGAGTTAGTGGCGGGAGCCCTAATCCTGCATCACTAGACTGTTCTCCCTGTGAGAGGGAAAAGTCTGCAGTGTTGGCAGCCAGTCCTTGCTCTCCCCATTAGGCAGTTCTGCCTTTTCAGAGCTGGGAACAGAACCCTGCTGTCCATTAGGGCCAGACATGGTCCTTGACTTGTCAATGTATTTAGATGGGTGATTCTTAACCTTTTCCGTACCTGGGGCCCCTTTTCCCATAGCAGGCACCCCTTCTATTTAGCAACGGGGGGGAGAGGGTCCTCAATCTAGATGCCCTAGTGGAGTTGTGTTTGACGGAGGCTAATTCAGACACCGTCAGACGTAGCCGTGGGAAGAGCAGCCCATGTAGGGGAGAGGGGATTTAGGGATGTGGATTTAAAATTCTTTCTTCGAATCTTTTCCAGCAGCCGTGTTTGTCTAGTCGATGAATCCCTGAATGCATTACAGCGTGCTCCTTTAGGACTGGCTTGGGGGCGGAGGTGGAGACTCTACTCTTCCCGTTTGTCCTCGGCCTAAATCCTATCCCAGATTCTGTGTGGTTTTGGCCTTAGCCAACTTTCTCTCTAGCCTGACCTTTCAAAGGGGTTTGTCCCCCAACTGCTCCCTGCCCTGTGGGTACCACTGCCAGTCTAGTTTGCTAGCTGGGAGCAGGGGGCTGACCGACTTGCTTGTCCACTTGACAAGGACTCTACTCTTCCCGTTTGTCCTCGGCCTAAATCCTATCCCAGATTCTGTGTGGTTTTGGCCTTAGCCAACTTTCTCTCTAGCCTGACCTTTCAAAGGGGTTTGTCCCCCAACTGCTCCCTGCCCTGTGGGTACCACTGCCAGTCTAGTTTGCTAGCTGGGAGCAGGGGGCTGACCGACTTGCTTGTCCACTTGACAAGGTGTGGAAGCGCTGTGCTCCCAGAAGGGGCGGGGCCTCTGGCAGAAGGGGTGGGGCTAAGAGCACTTGGAGCACACCGCCAGGTGCTTTGGTGGTGGTTTAAAGGGTGCGGGACTCCAGCCGCCATAGTAGTAGTAGCAGCGAGCCCTGGAGCCTGTTCAGTTTCTGGGGCCTGGGGCAATTAGCGGGCTTCGTCGGGAGTGAGGAGGCAATTGAAGATGTGCTTGGAGGTGCAAACTAATCCTCATCCCTCCCTTCCTTATCTTACATAGGAATAAGGGAGTGCAGGAGAGGAGGAGGAGATTTTGACTGTGCATGTAATTACCCTGTGGAACTCTCTGGCGCA